CTGTGTAAGGTGGTAAGGTGCCTTTTACTCAGCATAATGCTTTTGAAAGTTATTCATATTCTTGTGTGTTATCAGTAATTTATTCCTTTTCATTGCCAAGTAGTATTCATTATAAGTATATGTACCACATGTATATTGTGTATTTATTCACCTATGGATGAATACTTAGGCTATCTCAAGTTTTTGGTTATGATAATCATAGCTCATTGCAAGCTTGGTTTTTTTTTGTTTTTTTGTTTGTTTTTTTAATGGAGACAGGGTCTCGCTTTGTCATCGAGGCTGGAAAATGCAATGGCATGATCATAGCTCACTGCAGCCTCAAACTCCCAGGCTCTAGTGATCCTTTTGTCTCAGCCTTCTGAGTAGCTGGGATACAGGTGTGTGCCACCGTCCTCAGCTCATTTATGATGAGTAGAACTTCTGTGAATGTTCTTGTGCAAGTGTTATTCTATGAACAAATATTTTCATTTTTCTTGGGTAAATATCTAGGCTTGGAATTTTTGAGTTGTAAGGTAGATGTATGTTTAGTTGTAAAAGAAACTGTTGGATCTTTTTCAATAATGGTTTTATCATTTCATATTCCCTGCGAGAATGTATGAGAGGTCCAGTAACCCCATGTTATCCTAATGCTTGACATGGTCAGTGTTTTTAATTGTAGACATTGTGGTGAATATGTAGTGGACCACGTCACTTTTAAAATACCCTTTCTATACTTGTCTTTATGTGTGGACTTTCTTAACTCCCTGAATCCATCTTAATTCCTGGTTTCTATAAACTTATTACTGGAAGCACTGGCTATGAAGGACAATGGTCTTATTAGAATGTAAGTGCTACAGAGATAGGTATTGGTGGACTTACTAGCACACAATAGGAACTTACTAATATGTGTTGGCTGATATGAATGAGTGAGTGAATGGTCATGCATACCTAGACTTACTGAAACAAGAATGTAGGAAGACTGTATCTGTGAGCACATCTGTTTAATCTCCTTCTGACTCTTCCCTGCCATGCTGCCAGCTGTCCTTCATCTCCCTGTTGGTCCATTGAATGCTTTGCTCTGGTGTGTTTTTGTTATATCCCAAGGCATCCTTCTAGGCATTAAAATATAAGATTATTTCTCTCTCTGTCTCTCTGTCTCTCTCTCTCTCTCTCTCTGTCTCTTACCAGTGTCTGAACTCGGGGGATACTGAATAAATATCTTCATCTATCTAGGTCTTATCTTCTTCATCTGTAAAATTAAGATGGTGAATGACCTACAATTCCCTAGCCCTACGTTATAATAATTCTGACTCCTTCCTTATTCTGACTAAAGTCAATGATTCTATGACAGTCTTGCTTGCTTCTCTTCTCTTTCCTTCAAGGAAAAGACGCATTAGGGATTGGGACCATGGATTTGTTAGAAGTTTTGTACACATTGGGAAATTTATGTCAGAAAATAAATAAAGTTGGGAGGTATGTGGACGAAAGCACATTAGGGACATTTTCAAGTGTCACATAAGCTTAATTTCTTATTTGTGTTTTCCCTTTGAGCTAGCCATTTGCATTCTTTGTCAAATTTTACAGTCTAAAGAAGGATAACTTTCACTCAATATAAATAAAAATGCCTTCTTGCTTTCTATTGAAATGAATAGAAGTTGTTTTTTTGATGACAATTAATGGAATTATAATAAACTTGACTTGTTTTAAGTGTTCACAATGTTCTACTTATGCCCAGCAATCTGCTGCCTAATTCTAACTAGGGCAAAGTTTACGAATCCAATGGCCTCATAAATAACCTTCAATTCACAGGTCATCAGAACCATCATAGGGTTAGGTTAAAAAAAATGTTTTATGTAATTATTGCAAAAACTTGGCTTACAAGGTCAAAGGGTAATATATAAGGAGAAGTTGATGTTTAAAAACTGTTAGGAAAATGTAAGGATATTAGTAACTGCATATGCAAATTATCTAAAAAAATAAGTAAAAAGGCTGCTTTTGAAAGCATTTTCTTTGCAAGAATGGCAACCTGTGTCCCTGACAGTTGGTAACAGGATTATTGGAGCTTTGGTTTTGAGTGAGAATGCTCCTGTCCAAATGAGCAGAGCAGAGCTGATGGGGTAATGTCTATCTTTACAATCAGAGACTATGGGTTGTATGATAACAATGTTGTGAAATGTGTTGAAATTTGCTTTTTGGTCTAGAAAATTATCATTTTTAGTAATTTTTCTGTGAGTGATTAAGAAAAAGGGGTGGTTTCTAATTCTTGGATACAAGATTCTATTTGTATCCTTTAAATCAAGCTTGTTGGTTGGGTTCTCAAATCTTTTATATGTCTACTAATTGTTTTTGATTGCTTGACCTATCAATAATTGTGTTGATGTCTCACACTTTGATGGTACATTGGCCAAATTTTCCTCTTCTGTTAATTTTTGCTTTATGATTTCCTTTGAATAATTGTAAGCATTCTATTAGGTGCATACATATTTAGAATTGGAATATCTTGATGGAATTAAATAAAATTTATGAAAGCCCATTGGTTGGGACTGAACTCCTGTACTAGGCCAAACAGCCCAGACCAAAATGGAGTTAACCATGCTGAAGTTCTATGTTATCAAGCTGAAACTTGATATTCTGACATTCCAAGAAATCAGAAGATAGATAACAGCCAAATCCCCAAAGAGGCCAGTTCAGCTGGCATGATAAGGAAGTCCCCTCTGCTTTCACCTTTACAAGGAGTAAGTTGGAAATGACCAATCTGCTTTTCCTCTATTTTTGCTTCCTTCAGCCCTTTTCTGCCTGTAAAGCTAACCTCCTCTGTGCAGCTCACCAGAATATTCATTCTACTTTATGGAATGAGGTATTGCCTGATTCTAGAATCACAAATAAAAGCCAATTAAGATCTTTAAACTAAATTGGTTGTAATTTTGTCTTTTGACAATGGTGAGTCAAACCTTTTACCGTTGCATGAGTGACCTTCTTTTTCCCTAAAATGTTTTTTGTTTTAAAGCTTATTTTGACTAATATTAATTGACAATCTTTATTAGCAGGTGAGTTTATTCCATATTAATTTACTGTGCATATTGATATATTTTAAATTGTTCTTACCACCTTACTTTGTGCTTTCTACATCCTGCCTTCCCTATACTTCTCCCTACTACTGCCTTTTTTTATTTTTGTCTTTTTTTCTGATTGTTGGTTTTCTTTTTTAATTTTCTTATTTTTTTTTTCTTCTACTGATTAAGAAGTTACCCTCTATTTCTATTCTTTAGTGGTTACCACACTCTCATTCCCTATTCTACTCCAGCTTCAGTACACAAGTTTGTTTTCAGCCTTTGGAGATGTTTCTTATGTTTTAGAGAATTCAGCAATCAATTGAAAACTGTTATCATTATATTCACCTAGAAATTTATTTAAAACAACCAATTACAGCAAGTAACTTAACAACAAAAATTAAAACAGGTAATTTATCTTGTATTTTAGAGGGAATACTTCAGGTAGTTGGAATTAGAAATCTAAAACAATGGCACATTTTACTTTAAGTTTCTTATGAGTTGAGGTTGAAATTTCTTTCTTCTTGTTATAATGCAATATAGCTGTTCCTTCCTTTTTTCCATACTCCCTCTCTCTCTTCCTTCCTGCCTTTATCACATACCCAACATATATTGTCTATTATATACCAGTGTACGAGGCACTGGGAACAAGATCTGCTTCCTAGAAACTCTGCCAAGAGGCATCCTGGTGTGAAGAGAGAAATAGCTCCACTTTTTCTGGAAGGCATTCTGATGCAACCTTATTTTTTTGCTAATTTGACAAAAACAGTTACCAGACACAGGTACCTATTGGTGTTGGGTTACATACTCACTTTCAGACCATCTTTAATATAGTTGGTATCTTACTCAAGTTTTCGTGCAAATTACTTATTTATATCAAAGTAAATTCCTACTTAAATTAATTTATATTCTGATGAGAATTACTAAGTAATTTTGATTATAAACTTATAGGTTTGGTTATAAACTTTCTGGAAATTGATTTCGTGTGTGTGTGTGTGTGTGTGTGTTTCCCAATCAGTGGAACTTCTGGCTTCAAATTCTTTAAAATCAGTTCTGATTAGAAGTTCAAAAAATGTTGTTATAATCCCTTCAACGCATCCAACTCACTCTAGGTAGTGTGTCATTTTGAAAGTTATTTTCACTCTCTTTGCTCTATCCTATAATTGCTCTCCATCCCAAGGCTGCAGTGAGTTGCCCTTCAAGGTAATGCTGGGGCCTCTTTTTCCCAGTAAGGACATTGCCTTGTTATATGTTCAATGTCATGTCATTGGAGCAGAAAGTTAGTGGAGTCTACCTCATGCCAAGTCCTTTCCAAATGGAAATTTCACTATTAAATAACCCAGTTGCCATTATTGAGTCATGATTCTACTGCTCTAAATTTTTCAAATGATCTCTTTTATTCCTGGGACACTAGCATACCTAATTGTCAAGTTTAATTTATGATCCTCGTTACTCTCTAAGTGTTTAATTGAGTTAGTGGTTATAGCTGACTCATAAACCCATAAAACCCTTCAGTGGTAAACTAATTAGCCAATGCACCTGCCCTCTAAATGATTAACATTGTTCATTACTAACAATCAGCATTGGAGTTATTAAAAGTTACCTTACTGCTTGGTTGTCTAAAGTAGAAGCTTTCAAACTTTTTTGATCATGACCCAGTATAGGAAATGCATTTCAAAAGCTAACCCAGGATACATACACGCACACACACACACACAGACACACACACACACACACACACACACACACACACTTCTACTACCTGTCAGACAGACTCTGGTATTTTCTATTCTCTTAATATTTTCCTCTATTCTCTTTCAGTTAAAAACATACTGACCTACTAAAAAGGTTTTACAGCCTATGAATGGGTTATGTCCTACAGTTTCAAAAACACTGGCTTAAGAAAATTCATACACTGAAACAGAAAGTTAAGAAGAATCAATAAAAGTTTCTTTCAAAATTAGAACTTACTTGTTTCCTTCACCATCATATGCCCATCTAGTAGTGCCAATTCCTTCATAGTTTGAAGCCCAGTAATAAATACAGGCATTAAGGTGCAGAGTAAACAGCAAGTATCCAGTTGTTCGAAAGACTCTGTCCGAAAGAATGGATGCAAAATAAAGGTTCATGTTGTTTCTGGAATACAGCCTATTTTAACATTTTCTTTTCCTTAAAGTCTCTGCTGAACTCCCTTGCTTTGGATTTGTGAACTGTTAACTTTCATTAGTGTAGTATAAAGTGATGGTGCCACTGCATGTTTTCTGACTGCAGTGTCTTGACTGGGACTGACAGAGTGTAAAAAAAAAAAAAACTTCCTTTCTTTTCACAGATGGTATGAGTCAACTCTGTGAAAGGCATGCCTCAAGGGTCAGCTCTCCATTTGAGTCCCATAAAATATGCCACACCGATTTAACTGGATATCTCTGAAAAGCTCGTGGGACTTTATGCTGCAATGAACTGCAACTAGAGGTCTCTGTGCAAGTGAAGTTCAGATCAGCAAATGAATGAAATTCAGATTAGGAATGGATTGTCATGAGAGAGAAAGTCAACTTTCGAAAGAGCATGTTTTTCTGTACTTATTTTGACTGAAGCAGGTAATAACTCCTATTTTTTAATCTAATATTCTTCTAAAACCTGTTAAGATTTTCATACTTTTATTTCATTTAAAATATCCAAATCTGTTGCAGAACATACTCCTATATTTTATATTGCCAAAATCTGAAATTATTTCCTTTTCTTTAACAGGGAAGTCACATTCCTGCTAAATGCTGTCTAAAATGTTATACCATTGCGTTTTCCCCTCCACCCAAGTATTGTGAGTTATACTTTACCTGTAGATGTACGCTTTGTCCATTATAGACTCTAGGTGATGATTAAACTCAAAAAATGAAGTGTACTATGTAGAAAACAAGCAAAAGAAATCCAAAAGTATGTTAGTCTTAGATACATCTATTTAAATAAAGCTATAAGAAATAGGTTTTATTTGTTAGTAAAAATAATTTTATTCATATGTCTTCTTAAAAAGCTAGATCTTGTTTAGTGATATTTTCCTTTGGGAAGTACATTTTATAGTATGGTGCTTAACTTTCAGAGATTTTTGCTTTATTGTATTTCTACCCTCTAGTTATATTTTTATTTGTAATGCTTATTGAAAATCAAGCTTAAAAAACATTTCTTTTAGGCTGGGCGCG